TCTATTAAGAAAGCTCAATACATATACAGGTCTTTCGCAGACCCTAATAATGCCACACAAAATTTATATGTATTCCATGCAATAAGCAGCCGATTAACAGGTAGAGCAGCACATTTGTTAAGTGAGCGTGATGATATTAATTGTTGGAACACTCTTAAAGATATTTTAATTCAACATTTTGGCGATCCGCGTTCGGAAGATTGCATAGCTATCGAGTTAGAACAAATAAAAATTAAGTCTGGCGAATCATTTATCGATTTTTGTCATAGGATACAACATATGCGTAGTACCTTATTCGCAAAAGTCAATCTTATACAATATGAAGGAGTAAAAGCAGCTAAAATGATAGTGTATAGTAATATGTCACTAAATGTAATCCTTTATAATTTACCTGAGGATTTAATTCGTATCGCGCGTCTTAGACAATGTACTACTTTAGAATCCGCTTTAAGTATCGTAACCGAGGAAGTGAACTTCATGAACCAATATAATGCTAAAAATAAAATGAAACAGAATACAGCACCCCAAAGTTTCAAACCCCAACAAAGTGTTAATATTTTACCTAATAATAATCAATCGTATCTTAAATTTGCAAATCCACAATTTGGACAACAGAATAAATTTAAATTTGGTATCCCACATCAGCAACAAGGTGAAATATTTGTTGCTTAAAATAATTTTAATAATGGCCCAAGATATAATAATAATACGGGACCACAGAACTTTAAGTTTGGTATTCCAAACCAGCAATCTAAATTTAAATTTGGCATACCTCAACAACACCAGGGCTTTAAGCCACTCATGAATAATCATGCGCGACCCACACTAACTTTTACAAATCAACCTAAAAATAATTTTAAATTTGGTATACCCAATCAGAATTTCCAGAAACAAAATTTAAATGAAAATATCGATGTCTCTATGCGTACCGCACATCCACTAAGACAAAATATGCTAGATGACTTTAGGATTCTCCAAGATAACGAGATATTCTATAGCAACGAACCCGAGATACCCGTCAAACATTATAACTATGATATAAATTACTGTGACGAAAATAATTACACATATAATTTAGAAGCGCCCCAATTCGAAGTAGAACCGTATAGTGAAATAGAAGAAGTAAGTTACAACCCTCATATAATTTCGAATGATAATGAAAATTTTTGTATAGAAGCCTCCGATTCCGAAATAAGTTGTGATACAATTTTAAAACTCCCGCACATCGAAATACCTGAAATTCAGGCTCGTTTTATGATAGACACCGGAAAAACGAGATTTTTTATAAGTCCGGCTAAGGCCGAACAATATGTCTCCGCTTTCAAATTATATGAACCTTTCGAAGTTATAAGTACGCATGCACGTAGCCAACATACCGAAGCTATATATATCCCGCTCTTTAAAACATTTAAAAGTTTAGAAAAACATAAATTCTATATACACGACGTCGATAGTAGATACGATGGTTTGATAGGTTCGAATCTTTTAAAACAACTTGACGCTTCAATAAATATGAAAAGCCAAGTATTGCACACACGTGACACAAATATACCTATTATATATAACCCGCCATACGAAATTACATTGGAACCAAGAACGGAAACGCGAGTCAAGGCCCCAACAGATATGCAAAATGGAAAAGCGATAATAGATTATGTCGATTTTGGTCAAGGTGTTAGGATGCCAAGCGCTATAGTAAAATGCGTTAATTCATTTGCATACACGATGATACAAAATGCGTCCGACGATAGGGTTACCATGACGTTCTAAGCTGCTAAATGTGACCAAGTATATGAAACAAAATTTCGTTGCCGACGCCTTATCCCGTGTTAAGGTAAACGCTCTGGGAGAAGACCAAAAATCAATGAAGGTTAACGTGGATAAGGATGAACAACTACAAAGACACATAGACAGCTTAATCGAAGAAATTGAAATATTACAAAATAAGGGCACGAATGTTAGAAGAAGAAAAGATAAAGCGCGTTATGAAAAAGCAGAGGCCATAGGAGATATAGTTAGAAATATAGTGCCAATTAAGTATCACGATTAAAATACAAGGGCCCCAATTAAGGATATAAAACGTCCTCCACAGGTTCATTCTGTTCCTGCTGCAAGTCTTCAGGACCCAGGCTCTTATACTTCAACCGATTGTCAGAAATTCCGGCATACTACCAAAAAAGGAGGGACAAGCTCTCATTAGTAACGATAAGTGGTCCTTAGTTAAGATATTAGACTTATGCTTAATACGTGAGGATCTAGAATTTAATAATAATCGATACGATAACCTAAATACACTTGTGACACGTTATTTTGATAAAATAATAATTAACTTTGAAATAAATAATTTAAAAACTCAAACAGATTATATTCAAAATATAACGATTGAAAAATTAAAGCAACTATTACCATCGAAAAGGGCTAAACGCGGTATTCTAAATCCTCTCGGGTCTCTTATTAAAATTGTGACAGGTAATTTAGATAATGATGATGCCATAAGGTATCGTACCTTATGGCATCATCATTATCTAAATTAATAAATGATGTAAAAGTACCTCAGTGTCAGCTAAATAGAAAAATGACAGTGGTCGCCGAAATGATGAAAACCTTTATTAATGTTACAAATAGTACAAAATTCAATTTCATACAGCTGGATAAAACTCTTTGGGAAATGAGAAAACAAATTAATATAACAAACAACACTCAAACGGAACTTAAAATAGATAGCGTATATAACCTGTTTCAACATAACTTTCAAACTATATATATCAAACTGGATGAAATTGAAACAGCGGTAGCTTTTAGTAAGCTAGGAACATTGCATCAGTCTATTATTGACACCGATGAACTCTTGTCATTGTTAAAAATTATTGAACGAAGTAATAATCTTGTATTTTAATTTTACTACTTAAATTGATGACTCACTGTTCCTGTGTGAAGAGGATTATTCATCCATGTTAATTAAAGATAATTGTGCTACCAGCCTAATGAGTTTTGCAGCTAACACCACCCAATGCCGGCCCCTATTGGTAGAGTTTGATGATGTAAAGATAATGAAAATAGAAACCGATCGATGGATGTCCTATTCAAAAATTACAGTATTACTTACCAAAAAATGTGGAAAAAAAATAATTTAATTGGGACATACATAATCTCAGCCAACGATAATTGCGAAGCTAAAATTAAGGGATTCAGTCTAAAAAGGCATCATGAAAATATAGAGGGATACCCGTTAACTCCCTTACCAATAATAAATCTTCCGGAAACATCACAGCTGTTAATGAAGACATATTCAAATCTAGCAGCAGTAAACCTGGATGACATAGACCTGACCAATCTACAGCAGTTAAGCCACATATTAATCAGTGATAGTGTAAAAAGTGAGCAAAGTTAAAGTGTCATAAATGTGAAGGACATAAGTATCGGGACATTAATTTTATATATAATTTTAGTTATAATAATTGTAATCCTTTGTAAAAAATATTTGTATCGAAATTATCGGACTCGGAAAACTTCGCCCGGTAATTTCGAATCTAAGGAGGGAAGAGTTATGCATCCCGGTATTCCCGGAACTGCATCGGAGACCATCACAATTCAAGCGTAAACGTGGGCGTAGATTGCTGAATTGCGTCTGGAAGACGGGTGGTCTTTCGTGTGAATACTGATAACTACTCTTTAGCTTAAAGATCTAGAATAAGAATTAGAATAGTCATAGTTAGGCTCTCACATGTATCGGACATGTAGTTTTAAGTTAGAATCCATCGCGGATTAGTTAAGTAGTATATAAGTAATGTATTGCACATTAATAGTAATAAGTTTTTAAATAAAGTCTTTTTAAAAACATCCTGAGTCAATTTCGAATCGTGGCTATTTCGAAAACATAGTATATAAATACTCTAAATGTTTGTTTGAGTCCAGTATGCAGCAGTATTTGTGTAGTTTTGTATCCAATTCTAACAAATTAATGAATTGTTCAATTCTTTTAGTGAGGAGATTAAAATTATAGCAATTATTATATGTCGGTAAACAAATAATAATATCTGTATGTTGTGCAGTCAGGATGCGTTGCTTTAACATATACAACATGTAACATAATTAACGCACATCCTGAAAATAGTTTGTCCAGAATCGTTTACTGAATCGATTTCTATCACTTTAATATATGTAATTTCTTGTCCCAAAAATAATTAAAACTACGTAAATTACAGTCACACTAAACCGCAAGAGAAGCAGCGCCACGCTTTCAATGTAGTCATATGCATGTGTGGAGAACACTTCGTGGTGATAAAGTACATCCTTTCCACCTCAGGAAATGCCAGGAGTTGACTCCAAACGATTATGCACCACGCTTGCAGTTCAGCCGCTGGTTATTAGAATATTGGCAGCGGAACATAATTTTGACAGATGAAAGTACATTCACATGTGTGTCTGTCTGTATTACAACGTGTAATTATACTGGCTTTCTACAATTTTCAGACCGAAATACAGTGGTGCATGCACTGCTTCTGGCAAAAATTGCTAAGAAGGTGATACCCACCCAGTCAGACTCCTAGACAGGAAACAGTCCTAACAGCCTACCACCTAGTAAATTTAGTTGCTTTGTTGTTCAGTTTATCGATCATATTTTGCAGTTCCTAAAAATAAAATGCAATATGTCTATTGTATAGTTGCTCTGTGGACATGACTGACATACATTCTGTGTACTAAATATCGGGAATTTGTCAATAAAACAAAAAATACAAATTATTCATCTAAATTTATTTTATCGCCTTCAAAGTGGGCCCCATCGCTTGCAATACAACATCTCCAACGCTTCACCCAGTCTTCCATACATTTTTCATAGGCTATTTGCGGTATGGCCTTTAGCTCATTCAGCGAATTTTTTTTATGGCTTCTATCGACTCAAAACGTTTTACTCGAAGTGGTAATTTTAACTTGGAAAATAAAAAAAAGTCAGACGGAGCCATATCAGGTGAATACGGTGCTTGGTCGAGAACTTTTGTTTAATTTTTTGCTAAAAACTCTTTCACTATAATGGCTGTGTGTGATGGTGCATTATCATGGTGCAGCATCCATGAGTTGTGTTGCCACAAATCTGGACGTTTTCGGCGGATACTCTCACGCAAACGCTTCATGACGCCTAAATAATATTCTTTATTCACTGTTTCTCCCTTTGGAAGGAATTCGGAGTGAACCACACCACGGTAGTCAAAAAAAACTGTCAGCATCACCTTGATTTTGGAGCGACTTTGCCGCGGTTTTTTGGGTTTCGGCTCGTTTTCGGGACGCCATTCTGAAGACTGTTGGCTTGTTTGCATGTCGTACTCATAAACCCATGTCTCGTCGCCAGTTATTATACGTTTCATAAAGGTCGGATCCGTAGAAGCTCGGGAAACCATGTCTTCAGCGACATGCTTTCGCTGCGCTCTTTGAACAAAATTGAGCTCTTTTGGAACTAGTCGAGCGGCGACGCGTTTCATGCCTAAAATGTCAATGAGAATGTTGTGGACGGACTTAAAAGATATGTTCACCTCACTAGCCAACTCTCTCAGACTCATACGTCGATTTTCGAGCACTAGCTTCTTGATTTTGTCGATGTTTTCTTTGGTCGTAGCGGTTGAAGGTCTACCAGAACGAGGCAAGTCTACTACTACTTCTCGGCCTTCTTTAAAAGCCTTATACCATTCATAAGCCCTTATTTTTGATATACACGATTCGCCGTAGGTATTTCGCAACATTTTTAGTGATTCACCACATGAAATATCGTTCGAAACACAAAATATAAGGCACACTCTTTGTTCAACAATATTTTCCATTGTAAACATCGCCGAGAACTCAAAACTATGACCAACAAAAAGTGTAGTTTAAAACAAATTAAATGACAGATCCCGCTCAAACTTTGCGCGCTAAATCAGTACAGTGCTACCAACATGCAGTAAAAAAATTAGAACGACCTCTTTTACGCGGGTCTTTTTTATTGATATATTCCCGATACTTTTTACACAGAGTTGTATAGCCCCCACAACGCCGCTTTGTAGTCATCAGGCTACCAGCCCAACAATTTTGTATGTATTTTTTCTGCAAGAATAAAAAATAACGTAATAGTATGTGGATGAAATGGGTAGTTACAATGCGTCACCATTTTACATCATAATAGAGGAATAAGAAATTGTTACTTAATAAGAAATCGCTTTTTGCGTGGGTGTTATCCGGGAACGACCGTGCTCAATATCAGTAAATACAATATTATCATAAATGTTAATTGTTACTTTAATCTGGTGTGTACTTACCAAAATAATATTTATTTCTTTTTTTTTCAAAATAGCAGCATTTTTAGTGATAATTAGGCATCCTGTTCTAAGTATTTAGGGGCAACAACGCACCTGCATTTTGATTTTTAATCAAGGATAAATATTTTTAGTCCCTACTTTAATGTATGGTAGTGAAAGTTGGGTATGGCAGAAGAAGCATGAGAGGAGAATAAAGGCTGTAGAAATGCGGTCATTACGGAGTATGCTAGGGCTGAATCTGAATGACAGGGTGAGAAATAGTGTGATAAGAGAAAAGTGTGGTTTGCAAGATGACGTTGTGACTAGGATTAAAAAAGGAATGCTTCGGTGGTTTGGTCACGTAAAAAGAATGAAGGAGGAAAGAGTGACAAAGCAAATTTATGTTGCAGAAGTGAACGGCAGGGTCGGGAAGGGACGCCCTAGACGAAGGTTTATCGACCAAATCGGCGATACATTGAAAATAGGCCAGATTAGGAGTACCTTTAACCGACGAGCGTGTATGTGTAAATATATGGATGGAAAGGAAGCGAGAGAAATGTGTCAGGATCGCGCCACATGGAAGTCCGTAGTCTCTGCCTACCCCTCTGTGTGACAGACGTGAGTATTTGTATTATTGTATTGTATTGATAAATATTGGTGCCTATTGACCTGGCATGCGATCAACGAATACAACAAGAGCGGCGTTTTTACAGAGAATTAATTTGGAATACCTCACATTTTTGCCACGTTTTTATTAACTCGCTTTGTTCTCTGTTTGCCTGGTCGATACAAATTTATAAATCGAATACAAACTTACTTCACTATGCACAAGCCATGAAACTTTAAATAAGGCTCAGAGCTGTAAGACTCTCAAGCAATATGAACTCTTTTTATTGGGGTGAATCCTGAGATTCGGCATATTCAGTTGATTCCCTTGGCGAAATTTATTTAAACAGATTTTTTATAAGTAACAATGTAACTTAAAATTTATATTAATTATAAACACATTTAACAAACAGGCATCACTTTTGGCCGGACGGTTCCCAAAATATAGCATTTTAAATTTTTTTGGCCAGCGGAATCAATAAACGACGACAAAGGGATCAAAATTAAAACAAGATATATAAGAAAATCAAGTTCTATTATAATTTTACAGTAGTTCTATACCTTTATATAGTATTAATCAGTCTTTTGGTTGCATAAATTGGCACTACCTTAACCACTTATCAATTATAGGAAAATGTGATTAAAACACTAAAACTATTCCTTTTTTAAAGTTAACTTAAAACAATATTAGCCAAGATTATAAAAAATCAATGATCTATATTTTTGGTAATATAATTTTTAACAATTTATCAATTAACAATTGAAAAAGAAATATCTCGAAACAAATATTTTGTTTTTAAAATCAACTACACTCAGATTATTAATCAAAGTTATTATCGATAGCAGGGTAATACTTAATTTAAAAAATGTTGTAATCTGAGCTTGAATCATCATCTTCACAATGGAGGGCTGTTAGTACGGCTTTGGTCATGGTAGTAGACATTAAATTTTCATTCATTGAAGAAACGGCAGTCCAGAAGCTGTCATCAGATGGTACATTAATGTCAGGGCGGTCTTCGACTGAAATTTCATCCAGTCCATGGTCTAGGTTAGAAATGGAAATTCCAAAAGATGTTCTACTGCACCCAGCTATAGCATTATTTTTCCTAGTTTCTGATGGATAAGTATTGTTGCTCAAAGCTGTATTCCCAATGTTATAGAAGCCGATATGTTGTCCATGTGAACATTGCACTGATTCTTTAGAGCATATTCCCATATCACAACTAAGACGCCTCATGGCTAATACTTCAGGATTATTGCAGCTCCATATAGCTTGGTGCACTGCCATGGTACCACGAAATTCTTTTAGATCTGAAGGGATCAATAATTCCTTTTCTAAAATGCCTGATTCTACAACTTCCTCTATCGAAACACCCGGGCATCTAATTTTAAGGTGGCTGATTAAGGCTTCAATATTTGGGATATCATTCCCTTGAGCAACAATTTGATCAGCAGTTCTTTTTAATACTCCCCCCACACCATCTGGAGCTCCCTTTCCATGCCCTTTTTCGGAGTAATTCCAAACCACGCGACGTAAACTTGGATAGTTTCAATGAAGTTTGGCCATCACGTAAAACATTTTACGGTTACGGTACTGTGCAGATGGGGAATCAGATATAAAATTTAAAAACTTCACTTCAGAAACCTCCTTCTCAATGAAGTTCAGGATAGGAATTAAGTGCTCCCAAATTGCCACAGCGTCGTGTCGTAAGCACTCGCTCAGGGTGCAAAATGAGTTGGTACTAATCTCTTCATTTTTTACATAATAAATGACAGAAGTGTGTAGGGTCACTTGTTGTCTTGAACTCCCAAAATGAAAAGACTGTATCTCAGAAGCGTATTTCGTATTGTAATTTTCGCTGAAATCACAATGTACAATGAATTCTCCTGATTTCAGATTTGACTTCAAATTCTTGATGTATTTATTCTGAGCAACAATATTTGCGCAACGGCACATATATGGCTCTAATAACCTCTCAAAATGCTCTATTATATTTTTAGGATATGCAAATACTTTTTGCTTCAATGATTGCACGGTAACCTTTTCTTGTCCATCCTTGATATATTTCTTTTTAGACTTTGTCCAAAACCAGTAGTGGCCCACCTTGGCATTATCAAATTCCTGGTAATTCAAATGCCTATTTTTACAGCAGTCACAGTTTCTACTCAAACATTTTACATTCCTCGAATCACAACACAGGAATTTAAGAACATCATACGTCGATTTTTCTGCTATTATCCCGTGTCTTTTAAGAGCCATAACAGCTAGGTCCATATTCTCGTGAGCAATGCAGAGGCACGTCTCTCGGGCGTTGATGTTTGGAATTACTGTCCAAAATGGTCGCAAGGTGCAAAAAAAGCTGTAACTAATTTTATACTCGGGATGCTGCTTGAGGAACTTTTGATGTAACTGATGCAAGTTGAAATTTAGGTATCGTTTTTGTTTTCTAATTTTATGCCGTGTTACATATTCTTTCTTTCCGGGGCAAATTCTACTATTTTCATCATCTTCGAAAAATTTCTATTGCTGTTTTCATTTTAGTTTTTGATGTTTCACTAATTAGTTTTTGAGAGTCGATTCTTTCTTTTTTATTTTGACTCTTTTGAGTTAGAAACATTTCAACTGATTTTCTTTCAGGCTTACTATTTTTTAATCTATTTATCTGTTTTCTGTACTTCTCATTTATTAGTTTCAATTCTTGAATTTTTCTATCTTTTGTTAGCAATTCCTTATCTGTTCTATATTTCATTTTTCTTAAAAGGTATTTCCAGGGCGATGTTTTCTTAATAGACATTTTGTGACCAGCTTGATTTTGTTTTTTGCTTAAGGATCGAATTGGAATTGGTATTGATTGAGTAGCTATGTCACTAATGGAACTTCGAGATGAAGATGTGTCGGTGTCACTGGATGAAGTTAGTTTTAATTCCAAACCAAGTTGATGTACAGAAGTCTGATCGAGATTTTTTCTACTTGTAGATCTTGTGATTCGACTTGGTGTTGCGTATATATCACTATCGGGACTTGAAGGTGTCGATGATTCAATGGCAAAAAAATTAGAAGAGTGATGTGGAATCAGACTTAGAGGATCATTGTTGTTATCGCTATTTATTTCTGAATCTGCCTTATCTGAATAATTGACTATTTCTTCAAGATCATGAATTATTTTAAGTTTCTTCTTCTGGTTGTAACGATTTGAACTTTCTCTACTTTTCTTTCTTGCAAGTTTCTGCTGCCGAGGACTCATTTCACCTACTGGTATAATCTTCCCAGATTTTTTTTTCTTCAAATATGTTTGCCTTTCTTTTTCTTGCAATTGGGCTTTAAGTTCGGGATCATTCTTAATTGTTTGTAGTCTGCGACGCTCAGCAAGTCGTTTCTTCTCTAACCTTTCTTGCCTTGATTGTTTTGGAGGCATTGCTCAAATCTGAAATATGTATATAGGTGATTTAAAAACTTAACATCGCTGATCTCTAAAATTTGTTTCGTAGTTAGTTTGGGCTTTGTTTGCGAGACGATCAAGGACATGAATCTAATCAAATAACACGCAGGCAAGTCGCGCGAATTAATAATAAAAATATTTTTAATCGATAAAACGGATAAAACATAAATATATGTGTAAGAAATAATACGCAAACTTTCTTGTTTTCATTGAAAATTAGGAAAATTTCGATTTTTCATCATG